CATACAGAGATTGAGAACCTTATCCTAGAAACTACTCCATTTGAAAAAAAAGAGTTCTCTCATTTGGTTCCTGAGTAACTGCAGGCAGGGAAAGGCATGCTTAGGTTGGCATTGCTCCTGGAAAAAATGACTGTCATACTATGCTCTCACCGGTGTATCTGAAGAAAATTTAGAGTATAGGCCCGAGTATTTAAATTCTAATAATGAGTAGGCTTTTTGTTTGTTCTAGCCACTCCCTCCTTGAAAACAGTTAGCATTCTGAACTGCACAATAGCTAAAATATCTAGCTTAACAGTTATGCCAATATAAATTTTGAATTTTAAAAACTTTTAAACAAATAACCCTCTTAGAATCAAAACATCTTATTTTGAAGAAAGCATATACTTTTCTTTTTTTTTTTTTCTATAATCAGATAGCTTAAAAAAAAAAAAGAAATTGACTCAAACTTTTTTTAAATTTGGGGCATTTTTTGTTGTTTTCTGAAAAAATCAAAACCACTGGAAAAAATTCTCACTAGCTCTAGATTTGCAAAGACTAAAGAATGCAATGCATGATTGCTCCTACAATAGATATTCTTTTATTCTCTGAAAAGGAAGTAAGCTAACTTTGCAACTAAGATACAGTGTGGTTGCTGATTTGATTAGGTAGTATATTCAGTTCCAGAGATGCACTTTCTGTGTGTTTTCAAGCAAGACACTCAAACACAGAACTGCCAAGAAGGTTAGCTGCTGCTAAAACAAGCACTGCAAAACCTAAGAGTCTGCACATGGCATTCACAATGTCCTCACAGCAGAAGAGATGGGTGGTTTGTAATGGGGGGGTCACAATGAATTTAATGCAGCTAATGGGAAATACAGAAGAGACTAATGTGCTTTAAGCCCGTCGTACTACAGGACAAGGTATTCGCTTCTTTCCTAAGCTTTTTTTTTAAAAAAAAAAAAAATTATGGACATTATTTAAAATTTGCAAGATTCTTTGAAACCTTTGCATGAAAGCACTAGGCAAAGAATTAATTCATGTTTCTGTAACTGACAGGTTTTGTACTGTCTGTTATGACAGGCATTGTAACTGTAATAGCACAGAGTTTAAAATGAAGTAAAAACATTTTATTTTCCTTGGGAAATTTATAAATTGAGTGGAAAAAATGCAAGTATTTTCATATCTTACATAACAAAATATAAAATTATTTTTTAAAAGCTTCTTCCTTTTTAAAAGGTTTTCTCATCTCTACTGCCCAAAGACTATAGCAAAGTTAAATACAGTTATTATATTAGGCCTAGGTCTTAATTGTTTTTTCACCAATGGAAGTTTAGTAGACAGAAAAAGAAATCAACATCTTGTTGCTGGCATCTTGTTGCCAGCTGCATTGCAGCTGTTTGGTGTTACAGTCAGCAATGCTATACCAGTATCTCATTATCAGCTCTGTTGGACTTCTTATGCTATTTGGACTCTAGGAAATTAATATGATAAAAGGGTTTATAAAAATATAAGAGATGTTTAGAATAAGGTCAAAGACGATGATACCCACTATGGCTATAAAATATAATATTAGCTATCCATTATTCACAATGCAAATGCAAACCCAAATAAGCAACTGTATTACTAAAATAAATTAAAAAGAATCAATCACAAAAATGTCAAAACATGGCAGCAATACACTACAGGTACAAAAGTTCACAGTGTCAAACAGGGTTCCCTAAGCATATCACCAGCTACTTTCCATGACTGCAACTAGGCAAAGATTAACAATCAAAGCCGTAGCATCCACACATTTCAAGTAAGGCAGAGATAAATCCGTTTGCATTTGAAAGATAATGGGCAGTGCAAGAATGAATAAAACATTTTGTCCTTTATGACAGTGTGTACATAGTTTGGGATCTTTCATTTGAGGTTAATGCTGATACCCCTGTCTTAAGAGCTCACTGATTTTTGCTGTTTGTTTTGTATTCTGTCTATCTCAGTATCACATCTTCACAGATGATAATGAAATGGAACCATTTCTCTCAAGGACACTTAATTTGAACACTGTCAACAATTGCAAAAAAATTAAGTTAAAGCACAAACCAATGACCTCTCCATTTGTAGTTCAAGAATGAAGAACAGACAATAAAAGGCAACCAAAGCTGCTGAAGGTGCTAGAGTGATGCCAAAGTCAATCCCCTGCTAATTTGGTTTTGATGAGGATATTATAGCTGCTATCAAAAAGTAGTGGGGACAGTATTTTTTCCCCTTTTAAGAGTTGCAAGGCTTGGAACCACACACTTCTTAACTCAATAGCCTTGGAATTAATCCAGGATTATTCAACTGCATGAGAATTGTTAGAAGACGGGAAACAACATCCCACCTCTGTCTTTTTATTGTAATCTTCCTTATAGTATCATCTTGCAGTGAAACCTGAATATCCTAATGGGATTAAACATAAAAGAAAGTCAGGAAAAAAAGTTGCTGGATTAGAATTTTAACTGAAGCCTTCTGTAAGAAGGACCACACCACTGTCAGCGACCTTTCTCTCCTCATGTGTGATCCCAGTTGTGCCTAGTCAAGTGTCCAAAGGAGACTCCATCAGTTCGTGCTGTATTTATCCTTTTGCTCCTAAAACAAGCATCTTGTTACTAAGAGAACAAGCATTCATGCCATTGATCATGGTGTATTAACCCACCCTGCAAGAACACATAATGTTCTCTGGTATGGAAAGCAGAATGTAATGATGCTATTTAAGACCCAAGTTCTGTATTCATAAAAATCATCACTCTAAGCAAAAGGCGATAAATTCTGTTCTAGCAAATAGGGAAAAGGGAAAAGAAATTGAGCCTTTTGAGTGTTTTAGAATGCCATGTCTATCTCCAGGCTCCAGCCTTCATTTGTTTTTTAAATGCACTCTCTGATAAGTTTGCCTTTGACATATCTAAAAAAAAAGCTATTTTAGATTCTCATACTGTATCTTCACAGCCCTCATTAGATACCACAAGAATGCTTTTCATCTCATTTTTACTCTAAACTCCCGAAGCCCTCCCTAGCTCTGTACAATTATATAATTAGAGAGCAGTTATTCACAGATGAGCATAAAACTGAGCTCAATCAAGAGAAACTTCTAAAACACTTTTCATTTTTATCATTCTGGATCTCTTTGCCTTCACAGTGCTTCAAAGATTCATACTCAGTTTCATAAATGCAATCATGAAACATTAAGAACAGTGTAAACTCTAGTGTGGGAGGATGTGTATGAGGTTGAAGTCCTGTTCCTACACTCAGATACGTGCTCCAAATTGGAGCAGCTTTCCTCACATCTTTCCAGCCAGTGTGTTCTCCTAGTAATATAACTCCAGCTCAACTTCTTGCTGCTCTCCTCTTCATACTAATTCACATCTAAGGTGTCAGGCAAATTGCTGTACACCTGAACTGAAATTTTAGGTAATATATGTTTTTATGCTTATTTCTTTTATCCTAGTCACTATTAGATCTAGTGCTGAGCCAGTAAAAAGAGCAAGAAGATGGTCCTTGACCTTTCAAGCTTGTAAGATAAGTGTGAGAGAAGAGACAAAGAATAGGTTGAGGGCAAGACAGCACCATAATCAACTATTCAGATCAGCAGTCAGTAGGATATGACTACTACATACATTTTCTCTGACAGTTCTGATTTGGCAGTTGAGATAATTATTGTTAACATACAACTTGCTATCAACATTTATAATCTCTTTGGCTCCTGTTTTAAGCTCCAGTGCCTATTTCCCCACAAGAAAAAAAATATCCCTCTTGATCTGTCCCATCACATAAAATGCTCTGCCTTCTCCCACCCTGGTATCCCAGTCTTTTCTGCAGTATACAGAAAGAAATCAGAGAACAGAAATAAGTTTTATGAAAAGGATATATTGATATATAAAGATCTTCACAAAGAAGATAAATAAAGATAGGATTAAACATTTGACATGAACATGGATGACAGTTTCAACACTATGGTTTTGAAAATCCTGGTCGCAGAATTAATTGTGACAAAATATATTACTCCTGCACGCCCTAATATTTAGAATAAACCCACCAAACCTTCTAATCTGTCAAAAATCCCACAGGCAAAAGCACTACACTTGATTATGATTTACCATGCCATTTCCCTCTTTGAATAGACTGGTTTATCTTTGCCCACCAAAGTGGGCATCAAGTACCAACGTTTAGTCCTCAAAATTTGTAATCCAAACAGCTCTGCTCTAGCCTGTGTCACAGGTTTTGTATTTTACAAAGAATATATCTATCACCATAGTTACACTAACTGAAAACTTCACTGTTCCTTTTTTTCCTTCACTTTGTGTCTAATTTAGCCTGAGCTCCCCTTCCCCAGCCCCTTTCTAGACCTATCGGACAGACTCTCACCCTTTGTTCTTTCAAGAGACCCATTGCTTCCTAAGGATTGCTATTTGTTAGAAGTAATTCTTTTGCATTCCCAAATTTATATTCAGATAAAGGTTATATAAGTGACAATAATCACTTTCCTCAGAATCATCACTTGTTTTTTTCCATTGTGTTTGTTGGTCTTCTAGAATAAACACCTTTCATTCATAATTTATCTAGCAGCATTTGTCTTGAACACTGATAAATAAATATCTTTCCTGGCAAAAGGATTTCCATGGTTCCAATGTAATAGATAGATAGTTATGAAAATTGCAGTCTGCCCACTGCACAGTACAGAGGGATTGTTTTCTCACAAGCAAAAAACAAATCTCTGATGGGTAAGGTTTTGGCTGATCAAAGTAAGGATTAATTAATCTGGAGCTCTCAAATATGTGGCAACTGTAACAGCTACTTATGCTGGACCTACTTTTATGTCCAAAAAGCTGTGTAAATGCTATACTTTGTATAATTATAGCACATAGAAAACAGATTCTAATCTCACCAAAACCTATTCTACACAAGCTTTGGTCCATGTACCCTGATTTATACTACTGGATGAACAGAAACCAGTGAAATTCAATATTAATCTGTATAGCAAAAGAATAAAGAGACAATACCTGCACAAACCCACACATCATATAGTCATCAAACAAAGGCAGACTGGGGCGATCCTCTCGATAAATTGTGATTTTGTAGCTGCTCACAACCTGAGGACTGGGCTGTGAATTATCTGTTACAAGAATGATTATTTTATTCAATCCAAGGCCAATGGGGTAGTTAGCAATGCTGCAAGAAAAAAAAAAAAAAAAAGAGGAATGAAGTGGAAAAAACACTGAAGAAACAAAGATTTACAATGCTTTATCTATGGCAGCTAAACTTTACTTGCTCCTTTAGGCTTCTATTTCTAACATTTTCTTTCTCTTACAAAATATATATGATTTTAAATAAAAATAGTGAAAAATAAGATTTGTAACAATTTATAGTTCTATCAGGAAGACAAAATACTGACAGAGAAACATCGTGGAACAGCTTCAGTGGCAGGGGCAACAATTCTGACAATTCAAAATCCTGTGAATGAAGCCACTAGGGACAACAATTCCTGGCAAGCCCAAGTTCACGGTGAGGTCAGCAAGGAGACAAACAAGATCAGAGGTGTCAGCTAGCCACTGAAATTGTCAGCTAGCCAAATATGATGGAGTCCCAGACAAACTGCTCAGAGTGACAGACAAGAGCAAAGCTGAACTGTGCACTTGTTCCCTTGGCAGGGAAATGAGAAATGCTGAAAGAAAGACACAGAACCTGCACATCCAGGGCTTTTACTTTTCAGCTTAAAGTACATACTGCTATTCTGTCTTCCTTTCACAAGGCAGAAATCTCTTAATTTTTTCACATATATGCATGTTGACTGCCAAGCTGGTTAACTTTAACACACTAAAAACATTGAGTGGAAGAATTTCACGGGAGCTTCTTTTGAAATGATAAATCAGGACCAATGTCATATTTTCAATGCAGGAAGTATATCAGACATTATATCAGTAACAACTGTACAGCCTGTTTGGTTATTAGCAGATATTCTAGGTCAAAGCATCTGCTTCACAGTTGGTCAAAAGATGGTGTGTTGCATGGGCACTTTATGCCATGAAGAAATAATGGTTAAGGATTCTTCCTCCCAAGTGAAACATTGTCTCTGCTGTCCCTTTTATCCACACACTAATGGCTAGTATGTAAATAGGCCAGTTTTCTGGTTCAGAGGTACCTGATCCAGATACATAAACCCTTTTTGGCCCTCCCAACATCTGAAAACAAGTCATGCCCAAAATACCTATTTGGATTGTCCCTGGCACATGCTACTGTCTGTAAGAGAGCTTGTTGGGAAAGCCAAAATTGTGCCAGGGTTCATAGTAGCAATTAAACATTATGGATGCCTGTGGCTCAATGCTCAAACCTGATATTTAGTGATGACTTTGCTCTCTCCCCTATCCTTCAGCTTTATACTTCTCTAAAAGATCAGATAAGCTGTGACTCTTGCTAATGACAAGATGACCCATTTGATGGATGAGGGAAAGGCTGTGAGTGTCATTTACCTAGACTTCAGTAAAGACTTTGACACCATTTCCCACAGCATTCTACTGCAGAAACTAGCTACTCGTGGCTTGGATGGTTGTACTCTTTGCTGGGTAAAAAACTGGACAGATGGCTGGCCCCAAAGAGTTGTGGTGGATGAGTTATATCCAGTCGGTGGCCAGTAACAAGTGGTGTTCCCCAAGGATCAGTGACAGTGACAGTTTTGTTTAAACTCTTTATCAATGGTCTGGACAAGGGGATCAAGTGCACCCTGGGTAGGTTTGCAGATGGCACCAAGATGGGCAGGAGCGCTGATCTGCTTGAGGGTAGGAAGGCTCTACAGAGGGATGCAGACAGGCTGCATCAATGGGCTGAGGCTGTATGAGATTCAACAATGCCAAAAGTTGGGTCCTGCACTTGCGTCACAACAACCCCATGTAACACTACAGGCTTAGGGAAGAGTGGCTGGAAAGTTGCCTGGTGGAAAAAGATCTGGAAGTGTTGGTCGACAGCCAGCTGAATATGAGCCAGCAATGTGCCCAGGTTGCCAAGAAGGCCAATGACATCCTGGCCTGTATCAGAAATAGTGTGGCCAGCAGGAGCAGTGAAGTGATTGTGCCCCTGTACTCGGCACTGGTGAGGCCCCACCTCGAGTACTGTGTTCAGTTTTGGGCCCCTCAATCCAAGAAAGGCATTGAGTGTGGCCAAAGAAGGGTAACAAAGCTACCAGAGGGTCTAGAGAACAGGTCCTGTGAGAAGCAGCTGAAGGAATTGGGGTTGTTTAGCCTGGAGAAAAGGAGGCTGAGGCGAGACCCTATCACTTTCTACAACTACCTGGAAGGAGGTTGTGGCAAGGTGAGGGTCAGTCTCTTCTACGTAACAAGTGATAGGATGAGAGGAAATGTCCTCAAGGTGTGCCAGGGGAGGTTTATATTGTATATTAGGAAAAATTTCTTCACTGAAAGGGTTGTCAAGTATTGGAACAAGCTGTCCAGGGAAGTGGTGAAGTCACCATCTCTGGAGGTATTTAAAAAATGTGACATTTAGGGACATGGTTTGGTACTGGACTTGTTAGTGTTAGGTTAACAGTTGGACTCAATGATCTTAAGGGTCTTTTCCAACCTAAATTATTCTATGATTCTATGACAGTCCCTTACAATGTAATTGTGATGAAAATTGACCATTCTGAATGAGTAAACTTGAATTTATTTCTTCTTTTATTCCCAGCTGTCCTACTCTGACCCATGCAAGCAGACTGCTGGCTGAGGGACCAAGCCCAGTGGGTCAGTGGCTTAGGCCACAGTGCAAAACCAAGGCCTCGTTAGAAAAGCTCAAATTCTTTGCTGTCTGCTGTGTGCAGTGTAATGATGGTCTGTTCCCACCCAGCTTTGATGCTTTTAATGACTGGAGAAGCTGGAGGTGATGCTAGGAACTGTGCACTCTGTAAAGCTAGGGTTAATTATGGCTTGAGAACATGTTACCATTGCCTTCAGGACACTGACAAATAAATACAAATTTCTGAGTGTTGAACTACCTCTGACTTTCCTGTGACTAATCTATAGGCATTCTGTACTTTTGGAAACACGAGACAATTCTGTAATATTCTGACATACTTCCAAAGTTAAGAACACTTTTAGTTTTTACACATTTTGCCGCTCATACCTCGGACCTTTCTTCTCATCAAGGTGTACTTGGCATTGACAGTTAGAGGGTTCTGCTCCTATCTTCACTGTCACAATGTCGAATGGGACTTCTGCGTAGTATTCTTTGACCTTTGGGTTAAACTGAGGATTCAAGTCCAGCTGTGGACTGATGAAGATCTGCCTGATATGAGATAGGGTATCTTTATCTGTTCCAAGAAGGCATCAAAGAAAAAACTGTGAAATGTATGAACATTTTTAAGTAACATGCAACTTCTGGCAGACTGATAACATGTACAGTGGCAAGTTTTTTAATGTCTACTCACTCTGAGATTGATAATACTGCTGCAAAGTCTTAATGGAGTTTGTGTTCACACTTGAGAGAAATTTTTAGACCCTGGAGGGATTTTAATAATTCACTGCCTGATTACTCTAGTCAGAGTCACAAAACTCAAAGTCTGAACAAGCTTTTGAAAATGCAAGGATTAGGTCTGGGAGATCCTGTCTCCAGCTGGTGAACTGAAACTTAAAGAAAAGTTAGGCCAAAATTCATAACCTACTTAGGTACCAGCCTGTGTATAGGGTTTAAGTACATCTGCAATTGCCAATAAAAGTCAAAATAAGTTTGACATACTCTTACTGTTCATAATAACAAATCACATGGAGATACCTAAACCCATGGGGTCATTTGCAGTACAACAGTAAGAATGTTTTATTAAAATTCCTAAATCAAAAAATTCCAGCTCCTTCCCAGTGTATGAAATCTCCAAAATCAAATCCTATTTGCTCAAATGTATACTTTATTTTGTAGTATTTGCCAAATCACTCATGAGAATAATTATTTGCTGGCAACCCACTTACGACAAATATTTTAATCCAACCTATTGGATTCAGATTTTATAATTATACATTCAAAACTTTATTTCCACATATATTCTCTAGGATGTGTTTAAAACTGGGTACTTCAGAAAATACTCCATCCAGAAAACTCTTTTTTTTAATATCTGAAAAATCTTGTGGCTTAACATATGGCTTAAAAGTGTCGTAAAGAATGCAGGCATTTCTATGTGGGCCTTTTCTACCTCAAAGTACCAGTCTTGAGAAACAAAACAGTGCAATTTCAGCACCCTCTTACACGGATTAAAATGTAAAGGAAGTTATTCCAGCGGAAGAACAGAATTTGGGCTAGATTTGTAGGGAATACAGGCTTATAAACTGACACATAAAAGGTATTTAAAAAAATCCTACAGATGAGTAAAAACACTTCTCCAGATCCTGTATGCCTTACCTAGAAAAGTTATCTCACTACTAGCTTAAAAATTAGGTGGAATTTTCAGAATAAAATATAATGCAATTGGAATGGTGATGCCAATCAGCCGGCCCAGAAGCATTTCTAACCTCTGTCTGACACAAAGGAATTCTTGGAGGCACCATGAGATCAGTAACAGGGGGGAAATGAGGCTCAGTGGGTAGAAAACCCTTTCAGCCACAGGGCAATGGTTTCATGTTTATAAAGTGACTCCTCAGATAATGTGGCAATGAGGAAGGTAGCAGAAAGCATTGCTCCCACTAGAGACAAATATACTTTAAATCTTTACATATCTTTAAATCTTTGCATATCTTTAAATATACTTTAAATATTCCTACAAGCAGATATCTTAGAAAAACTCTTCACCTCTTAAGCAGCTCTTTAAAACTCCACCATTGAGCTGAAGACTGGACTTATACAAGGCTGATTAAACTCCATACAAATTTAAAGGCTATTCCACAAGAACGAATATGTGCTAAAGGTCTTGGAAATAAGGGGCAAAAGTCTACTGAAGTGCAGCAAGGGATCAATGACTGCTGGAATATGCATATTAATATGCACACACAGCAATGTTTAACTTTGTGTTTGAAGTTTATTTAACATGATTTTTGTTTCTTTTTCATAACAGCCTGCAGGTACTCCATTCACCAAAAAGTTATGCAGAAAAAGCCAAGAAATTTGTTCAAGTAATCTCTCTTCTTCCCCCTTGGTGGTCTAGAAAGACCTTGACTTACCATAACTGCATTGTCTTTCTTTAGTCTTACTGGAATAATGTAATGCTGAAAGATAAACAGAAACAATTTAATTTTTTCTTCTCTAAGCCTGATTCACAATCCTTTAGGAGAAGGAACTCTCACTGTGTTAATTATGTACTTTTAATCTTTTCAGTGTGAGATCTTTGCTTTAGGCTCATGAACACTGTCATGGGCAAAGCAGAACAACGGACATAGGTAAGGAAATAATTGGTCTTTTATATGTAATAAGGTAAGACCTTTCAGCTAGAGAGCAAACCAGTGTAATCTAAATCATACATGTTATAAGAAGTAGTACAAATAGGAAAAACATACTGTATATGAAAGATCTTACTCCTGGTCCCTTACCTTCATGATTCTTCCTGAGGTCGGAAGGAACATTCTGCTTAGGGCTTGCATTTTCTTGAGAATAATTCCTGTCAATTAAATAGCAGACATATTTCTATATGAGTGGAAGGAACAGACACCATGGAAAATTTTTCAAAAATTTCTATATGGCAAGCCAGGGCACATGGTATTGTAATATTCTCCATGGAAAGATGAACCTTCTGGATTCATGTTCCCAGCATTAACAATATTATCTGAATGAACATGACAGTAAAACGCACATTCCATAATAAATGGTAGTATGTAACATGAAAAAAGAAAATCAGAAATAAATTTTAAAACAAAGTTGAATTGCTGGGAAAAGGAAGAGTGGATAAAACAACAAGAATAAAACAACATGAACCATATCTCTTAACTGTTTGTATGATGCTTTTTTGTACATATTTGAGGTTAAAGTTAGACATTGTTCAAAAAGAGTTAAATACAAATGAAGGCCTGTGTCAAGGTGAATGTCGGTAGCAACATTAGCATGAATTCACATAAAGGATAGCAATGTGTTTTTATTTGTTTGCTAATTCAAAACAAATCACACAATCGACATCCAGAGTATATATATAAATCCTCAGTGAAAAAAAAGACAAGTCAATTGCAACAACTCATTAACATGTTAGTTGTGCCCACATTACTAAATCTGCTGATTTTTTTCCTTCATACAGCATTTTGGGAGCATAGTAGAAGAAAGGCAGTTTGCTTCTCTCCAATGCACGTGAAGGACCTCTAGCTGACAAGACCTTTTCAGACCTCCATTAGCATTTCTTGAAGTTTTCATATGTTTTCTTCTCAATGTTTTCCATATAAATCCTCATAAAGCAGCTTCTTCCCAGATACTGCTGCCTATTCTGTCTGGACTTTTAAAAAGACAAAGTCAGTCTGTGCCAAGGAGGGGAGGTGGCAATATTGTTCTGTGCAATCAGCCATTACTAATGTTTCAAGAGAAATTGCTGAAAGCAATATTGGGGTCAAGCATGGTAAAAGGTAAACTGTCCAATAATAAAATAGAGATTTCTGCATTATCTCAAGATAATGGAAAGAAGCAGCTGTCAGATCCATGTATCCCTCTGTGTGTATGAAAATGCAGTTCTGAGCTTCCAGTTGTCTAGACACTGCCCTAATTTAATGCGCACTCATGACCTCCTTCAAAGGAGGGACCGAACAAACTATTAGAGAGTCTGTTTTCCAAGTTATAAGACATTTTGCACACCTTTTTCTGCTTGCAAAGGCGGTAATGGCTAACATCTCTCAAATACATGTTTTCTCTCTGCTGTTCTTTTTTGATTGCCCAGCCCCAAACCCTATT